CTCTCCGTGCTGTTAGACATATAGCAAAGATCTATTCCCATGTTTCATGAGAGGACCAAGAAAGACACAGTGTGGGTCTGCTCTAAACTGAATAGAAAGTGCTCAGTTCATGCTGATAAAAGTGATAAGTTTGGGAATGAATAAGTTTAGTCCTAGGTTCCTTCTCACTTCACATCTCATGGGCAGTCAGATATCTGATTCTGTGCATTTGGCTTTGGTCTATGGTGTTTTAAGGGCTCTGCAGCTTTTCAAAACATGGCCTTGTTTAATCTAATCATCTATGAGAGCACAGTCACACGGAGATCAGCAAACCAGAGAACACCCTGTAAACACAGCAAAACACAAGCAGCCCTGCTGTTGTGTCTCAACCACTTCCTAATTCTTAGCTGCATATTTGGTATTGACTTTCTAAAATTGTCTGATTTTAGCTTGGGAAACTCAATGGAGCCTTTCATAATGGAGAGAGATTCATGAAGCACATTTTATAATTAACTACTATAAAGCAAACTTTGGCATGTTTGCAAATTATGGAATTCATTAATCTAAATAAAATCATATTTAGATTGTTCCCCCTAGTGTATTAGAAGCTGGCTCAACATCAATAAAATTATTGTTTTTAACAACATGTGTGCAGCAGGTGAAATCTTTATTATTACAAGTTTATAACAAAAGTTTGATAAGTTAAAAATATAAACTCAAAAAATGTAAACTTCAATCAACTTGAAAATGTTCTGCAGTTCACATTTGGATTGTAAAATGGCTGTAAACACATTCCTGCCTCCACCCAAGGCACATGGATAGGGTGTATGTTTTTGATGGTTTGAAGTAACTTTCTGAAATGTTCTAACAATTTAGTCAATGTTTAATGCACATAACATGGAAAGGAGAACTGCAATTTTTTGCTCCCTATGCAGAACACACTACCTTCCAGAAGCCCATATCAGCATCAATTCATATGTTCCTCCAAAACTTAGCTTCCTTTTTTTTAAAGAATTAGCAGAGCAAGAGAAGAGTTTAAATTAACATGTGGTAATGCAGAGTAACTTTTCAGAATTGTTAACTTAATCCATGTTATTCTGATTTTAAGCAATTTAACATTGTGGATAGAAATGCTGTAAGATAGGGACACCAGCTTTCTCTCTGTTTCTCTTATGTATTAATTCTTAATGCAGGAAATATTTTGGAAAAGGACATTTAGGTTCCCTTTCTTTTTGCATAAAATTAATCTGACTTTGTCCTTTAAATCATGAGATACAGAAAAAGAAGGCAGTAGATGCTCCCAAGAGAACTTGTAAATAAGTAAATGAAAGTGTTATTCTTAATTAAATACATCCTTTTACTGTTTACAGAAAAAAAAAAATTATGAGAGCGACCTGGGAATTTTCTCCCAGCCTGTGTTTTGCACACAGCAATACATTTACACTATCTGTTTGCATAAAGCAAACTGCACATTTTGGAATGAGTTCAAGCAGATACAAAACACTGGAAAACTAAAGTTTCATGACCATATGTAGCCTGTATACATAATATCCAAATCTAGAAAGTAGCAAATGTCTAATGAGAAGGAGGGAAGGAAATTGCCTAAGAAGAATGGAGTAGGATTAGAATCCAGATCTGGTTAGCTTGGACTGGGCTGACAGCTTTAAGCTACAACCCAAAAATAAAAGCACTGGAAAGAGATCAGTGACATGAGTTGCCTAAGACATCAGGGGCTGTGAGGATAAGACTGTAATAACACACGGAGGACTGGACTATCTTTTGAGGGGTTATCTTTTCTTAAAAAAATAATTTTTTGGTGGTAGTAGGGATTGAACTCAGAGCCTCATGTTTGCCTAGCAAGGACTCTATCTCATATCCTTCTGTGTTTAATTTGTTATTCAGATAGGGTCTCAAACTTTTCCCCAGGCTGACATAGACTTCAATCTTCCTACCCCTGCCTCCAGAGTAGCTGGGAGTATAGACATGTCCCATTATGCCTGGCTTCTCATCTACAAATTTTAAAGCTCACACCTTATAGCATATGGTCATAATATTTATGTGTAAAACAATATTAAATAATAAATCAATTAAAAATAAAGTGAATGAAAGCAGATTTCTTTGGGAAAATTGAATTAAATCCATATTCTCAGAACTTCAGACCTGAAATACCTTTGATTAGGTCATTGGTAATACAAAAAACAAAATTAAGTAGGCAACGTTTGAATGAAGAACAAGTTATAGAGATTATAAAGAAGGAAACAGAGATGATCCAACCACAAAGTTAAATGAGACATAAGGGTGTAAGCAGACAGCAAGGGTTCAGGTATGATTTTTATTTGGAAGCCTACATTTCTTTCACATTTTTCTCTTATGTAGCTGTCCAATAATCTTGTTCTGTTACAGGAAGTTCTTATTGCATATGTGGATATAGTTTTAATATAGTATTTGTTCTTATCGAATATTGGCTTCCTCCCTCTCAGACTGCTGTGTGCCTGTCTGTATAACCCCAAAGTGCTGGTTAAGGAATAGGGAGGGGCTGGGAAAGGTGCTGGGAGGCTTGCATTCCAGACCAGTTGGCTCCAGAGTCAAAGTAGCCCTGAAGGAGCAGCATTTATAGCAACGGTGTTCCTCTTACAGGGAAACCTCCCAGAGGCTGGCAGTGTGTGAAAATAGATTATTGCAGGAGGGAAGGAGGCAGGGAGCAAGGGAAGTAGTAGCCTTTCCTGAGGAATGTGTAATCTCATCTTTTCAAATCAGGTTTTAAAGTGCATAATACAATGGATGAATGACATGGATGACTGACTCAGTGATTTATTTCCCATCATTTCTCCACCCAGCCTCAGACAAGCTGTCCTCCCTTCCCAGGGATGGAGAAACATCAGTATGAGATTTTCCTCACTCTAAATAGTAGTGATTAATCACTGATGTACTTCTAAAATCTGTTCAATTACAATCCTCTTAAGTATTTGGACTAATTCCTCTTAATTTCCACTGTGGAGTGGAATGCTAACCTGAGCAACTCCCATGTTTCTTTCTCCTGCTCATGCACATACATAAATATGTAAGAAATATTGATTAAAGTTCTACATCAGGCTATATTTTTATCAGTTCATCTAACAGGCATGAGTGAGAGACAGGTGAAGACATACGCTCTACCCTGAAGCATAAATGGCTTGTGTTTTCAAAACACTTTCAGGCACATCGGCTCTGCCAGAGTAGCTCAGGGGCGAGCCCTGCCTCATTATTGGTCTACTGTATAGGGAAGAAACAAGACACAAAGTAAATGAATCACTTGTGCAAGGTGACACTGATAACACAGAGACAGAGCTTGGACATCATCTCAGACCTTTGGCTCCTGAAATCAAAGGTACTCAAGCATGTTGGACTGAATTATCATCAATGATGTTCTTGGATGGTTATTTACATCAAAATTTTATGTTCATGGGTTCTGTTATTGTTGTTTAGATGGTAAGCAGTGTGCTAGGACCAGTATTGTCATGACCAATACTTAAGACTTTAAATTTACTTGATTCTATTTAACTGGTATAATGTGTAGACTTATGAAATTCTACCTTTGACTTTGACTCCTCAAAGAAACATAGCAGATAGAAATTGATGCTGTGTACTAGGACTGTGAAATGGTAGATTTAATTTCCATTTAAGTTAGAACTTTAGCTTTAAAAACTTAGTCTGCTTAATGAAATATAGAAAAATGTTAAAATCCAATTAAAGTAATGATAAAATAATTAAAATAATGCCACTTCCCCTACAAAGATGATGTTAGGAGTGATACATAATTTAAAAAATAAATTATTTCACTAAAAAGCATAGTAGGATTATATATAATATGAATATATATATATGTATATATTTACTTACTTAATTTAGTCTCTGTTATAATTCACATATGAAAACTAAAACTTAGCAAGTTTAAATAATGAGACGCAGGTAGAAATATCTTTTGCAAGAATGAACTCAGATGTGCTAATTCCAACATCTACTATAAATACTAAGCCAATTTGTTTTCTTTTTCTTTTTTTTTTGGCTCTAATGGAGTTTCTAGGGAAGTGCTTTACCACTTGAGCCACACCCCCAGCCTTTTTTGCCTTAGTTATTTTTCAGGTAGTGTCTCTTCTTTTAACTCAGTGTCGATGTCTGACTTCAATCCTCCTGTCTATGGCCTTCTGCATAGCTAGGATTACAGGTGGGTGCCATCCCAACCAGTTCATTCACTGTAATGAGGTCTTGCTAACTTATTGCTTGGACTGGCCTTGAATTGTCATTCTCCCAATGTCTGCCTCCCAAGTAGGTGGGATTACAGGTGTGATCCACAGTGGCCCAGCTCTAAACCAATTGCTCATACACCTAGTAGCCGAGGTCAGCATATATTCCTTATTATGGGGATGTCTTTCCACAGTCAACTTAGATTAAGTCTATACTTGTAGGATTTACATGTGTTTCTTACAACAAACAACTTGAGTAAGTGACGTTTTAAAGCCAACTCTGTTGTGTGTTATCTTGGATTCATTTGCCTTGCTATAGGAAAGAGATAAAAGTATCTACCATAGCAACTAATTACCATGGACAGGAGCCTACTATTATCATTCATGATAGAGCAAAACATGTTTAATTTCTGTGCAAACTGATTAGCCCTGGATGAGTCAACACTGTCTTGAATAACTTCTAAAAGGGTCGCCTCTGCATTCCATAAGCGACTGTGACAAATTTTGTCTAGAAGTCATTTAGGGATGCTGAAAAAGGCAGGAAGAAGACAGTAACAGTAGCAAATTTCTCTTTTAACTTTAAGTGACACTGTCAGAAGAAAACATCTACTGTGTTGCTGACTTTGCTTTCCCTCTCCCCCATCAGTTAACCCTACAAGTGCAAATATAAACAAATTTAATCCCCAACGGTACATCTGAACCAGAAGAAATCTGGAATTAATTGCCAAGTATTTTGGTTCCTGTGGCAGCTGTTACAAGTGTTTGATTTGGCAAGGGAAAAGAAAAGGCGTTGCATACCAATTTCATGAGCTACGGTGAAAGCTGCGTGGAGGCCATCATCTTCGATCACAGCACAGCTGCGCTCCGGAGAACATATGGTTCCAACGTCTGCCATTCCCAGGGTGTCACATGAATGATGCCCACATAAATCCTGCCCGGGAGAAAGAAAGAAATCATTTAAATCAATTTACATCCAGAAGGAGCCACCAAGTACAGCCACTTGCTCACTCCAAATGGCAAGACTGGGATATGTTTATGGTATCACCTGCTCAGCTCTGGAAATATTCCAAAGACAAACTGAAGGCAGCAACTCTTCTGAGCTACTCTCAGACCCAGAAGCACAGAAGAATTGAGTAACTCAATTATACTTAAAAAATGTTTTAAGATTGTAGCTTGTCCACTTTTCCCAGCTCTGTCACGTTAACAAAGCTGTAATGTATATACACATACATGGGTCACCTTCACAGATGGTCAGCTTTAGGAAAACCCTAACTTCTGACCCAAATTCATGCTCAGTTTATCAGAAGACTAGTCTATTAATTTGTTTTCCATCACAGAGGCAAGTTACTACTACACATTTGCAACAGAGTATGAATTTATGAATAATTTGTGTAGGAAACAAAAATTTCATCCATATGTAAAATTCTTCTAAAATCATCTCCTTAATTTCCAAATTGAGTTGTAATTTCTCAAACTGTATCTTCAGAAATGTATAAGCTGTCACTTTAGCATTTAGTACACTATTTCTCAACCTGATCAAGCCTCAGAAAATATGCATCATGCAGGTATACTATATGTATGAGCATGAGTATATGCATTTTTGGGGTGAGAAGTCACAGTTTTTAAGAGATTCTCAAAGGGTACCATGATCACATCCAACTAATTGTGAAAAGTTATCAATTTAATTGAAAGGAACATCAACACAATATTATATATACGAAGTTCAAGCCTTCATATACAAACCACAATTTTGACACAATAAGTTTGTAGTAAAACACTTTCTCTTTACATGCTACTTAAGTATCAGTGGATTTTAAAGTTTTTTTGTGGTTATCTATTAATTTCAATAAAAACTTAATTAACAGTATGTGCATTTATATCTAAAACACAAGGTAATATTCTTGGTAAGTCATAAGTTAATAACTATAGAAGAAAAGATTTTTAAAAATGTATTAACTATTATACTGGTTCTCACAGTAAGCATTATTTCTACTAAGGCTGCATCTTTGTATCCCCAACTATCACAAGGTCTATAGTAGGAGTTTAGCAGACATCTGCTTAGTTGAGTTGCATGCTGATATATAGTCAGACTCAATGTAATTCTCACACCCCATTCATATGCTGAATGCTGGTTGGACCTCAATTATCTTCAGCCACTCAGTGCAGGACAGTATTCATATACAACCAATGCCACATACTCATCAACATGTACATCTGACTCTTTCCTTGGTTACATAAAAATCCAACCACGGTGAAAAATATTTAAAAGATATACCCTATTCTCTTCTCTTTAGTATGCTTTCAGTGCTTTATTGTGCTCTGTATGTTATACATTTCCAGCTGTGATAAATTATACTGTGGTCACCATGTTATTGTAGCTTGTAGCTTCTGACAATGGAAATCTCAGCCAAGTAGCCTTGGTGAGTCAAGGCACCAAACCAACCATAGCCTTCCAAAGTTTCCTATGTAGCCTCATGTCAGCCCTTGGGATCCCAAATTACAACTGTTGAGAACAAATTAGTAGTTTTTAAAATTGAAGTTGGAACACACTTTTGCATAATAATCAGTCTTTGAGACAATAATACAGTATAATACATTTTTTAATCCTTCCCCTCCAATCATTTTAGTAGTTGTAGTGCAAATCCAAGGTCATATCTTAAGTGGGTTGCTACTACTATAGATTATTTCTGCATACATATATGCTATTTAAATCAAGATGTGTTTTTACCTTCACAGTTTGGGGTTCATTATCTTCTAATAATAAAGTGAAATAATTAAGTTTTCACTTCTTATTCCTCACTTCACTAATAAGCCTAAAAAGTCACAGCGAAGGGAAATGACCTTCCTGTTCTGAATGGAATTTAAGCCAGAAATCTTATTATCTCTCTGATTACTGCTAATCAATTGCTCATTAGAGCCATCAGCCCTCCTTGTCTTCTTTGAGTTGCATTAAGTGCATTTGGTGTTTTGCCATGGAAATGTGTGCATGTGACAAAATTATGACCAGAAGCACTTACTATTTTTTAATCACTCCGATTAAACCCCTTGACTACATAGCCACACGATTATATTTCCAGAGCTGTAATTATAATCTGGCAACATTTCCATTTCACTCACATACTTTAAAATCATAATAGTACAGTTATGGCTTTACTCTTAAGATTTATAATGAACAGCTGAATTTCATTGTGATTCAATGTTCACCTCAATATATGAAAAGGTCTTGTGTATCAAATTATTAAAGATACAACATATCACACTCATGTCTATTTTATGGAGGTGATTTACAACACTACTTAGAAATGAAAACTTTATTTCAAGTTAACAAGATTTAAAAAAAATTCAGAGTAGGGGTAAGGGTACTATTAAAGCAATAGTACCCTTTGGAGTACTTTGCTTTGGAGACAAGCTTTGGAGACAAGATATGCTGAAGAATATGTATTCTGTACGCATTTAATAGGTCAATGAATTAAACATGCTGACAAGTGATTTTCTGTTTATGTAGTGTGGACTGAAGGTTAATTGTATGATTGTATGTTTGTCATATTAAAGACATCTCTTTTTATGCAGGATCCAATATTTATCACTGTTGTTCAGAAAGTAATGCAATAGAAGATTTAGTAAAATGCAAGAGTTGTAAAAATATGCAGACATTTGTGTGTCTTGTGGTATAGTGTTTGCCAAGGTGCAAGACTGAGATAGTGTATCTAACTTTAAAAATGTATCTGAAATGATCTGCAAGACCAACAAAAATTTGACAGGGAGGTCACTACCATTGTGACCATCACCATGGTGACTTTTTTGAAGACTATGAACATGGCAAAGCTTGTGATTTATCATGGAATTTAGAAGTACTAATAGTACCTAAGACCTGTTCGTGGGGACAGGGAAGGGGCAAGGAGATACCAAAGCACATTGCCTGGAGAAGCAAGACCAGGAGGATGGAATAGCTTGGAAAATCCCAGTGCACATTGGGGAAATGAATGAAGAAGGCAGGAACATCAAGAGTGGAATACATCACAGGAGTTGAAGGATTTCCTGCCTTGATGGGAAGATTGTTCTCCCATGTAGCATAAATATGCTGAGGTAAGGAGGCTAGAGGAAGCACAAATGCTGGTAAGGGTAGAAACCATCACAACTGCTATAGCAGCAGTCAGAGTTAAGGAAGAACACCTTACACAGGCATCAAATAATAACGATTTCTGCTTCTGTAAATATTATCTCTGGGTAAGGGCAATAGTAGAGCTCAAGGAAGAGGACATACGACAGAGTTTGCCTATGCTTGAGATGCCTACCTTCCGTCTATGCAATTCTTACTGACAAGAGATTAATGACAGATAGTTAATAGTGGAGTACATGGCACATTTTTAACCATAATTATTACACACATACACATATATTTATATCTATATATATTTGTTTTGTGAATTTGATGTTTGTAATCTTTTTGTTTTACCATTAATATGTACTAATTTTACATATTAATGGGCTCAGGGTGATATTTCCATCCATGCTTACAATTCACACTGATCAAATCCAACTACTCCTTATCCACTCTCTTCCTCCAATATGATTCTGACTCTTGAGGTATTGCTTACTTTTATGGTTACCTATACAACAACCTCTGGTAATAGGGATCTTATTTTGTACTTCAGCAGAGACTATAGTAATTGGGGTATTAAGCCAGTCATGATAATGACTCATGTAATGTAATCTGTACCCATGCTTTTAAATACAACTAGGTAGTTCCAAACATACAGAGCAAAGGGAGACCAGGGGCCAGGTGCATTTATTCTTAAAAGAGTTATTGCATCCCTACAATCTGCTAGCCACTATGCTAAATGCTGACAGTGTAGTAAATAAGTGAAATAAAATTCAATCCTTTAGTGAGCAACACAGAACATGTTAAGAGGGAAGCAAACTGTGACATGCTATGATGAACAGATTGTTGTGGGTGTACAGAAAAGGGGTTGATGGATTCTCCTTGGGGGAATAAATAAAGATTCTCAAAGGACTGTAGACACCTTTACTGACAGTCTTGGGGTGAAGGTATTCTAACCAGGAAGGTCTCATGGAAACATCATAGGTGGTAAAATGCAGGGTCTGTTTGGGGAATAGCAAGGAGTCTGCAGTGTCTGAAGTTCAGAATTTTGGGGATGGATTAGCAGAAGAAACTGGAAGGACAGCTGGACTCAGAGTTCCAAGATAAACCATTTTCTCTGATAAATATAAGGCAAGACAAAGGGAAAAAAGAGAGGAAGGGACAAAGCAAATTGTAGATTGAGGGGAGCAGATGCTGAGAAGAGTCATTCTGGAGAATGGGAATAAAGTTGTTAGAGATAGTGAATGGAAGCTAGATCAATGTTTTAATTCTAACTATTACTTAGGAACATTGTGTAAATGATTTACAAACTTTAAGACAAAGTTCCTTCATTACTATAATGAGTTTGGACCAGGCGATTTGATTTCTAGGGCTTGATTCAGCTACAAATGTGTTGATATTAACTAAAACATTCCAACTTATAGATGAAGAACTTGAAGTTCAGCAGCAGTAAGTACCCAGTCTCATTTTAGCATGAGAAAGTTGAAACTCAGCTCTATATTTGAACATTCCAATCCTCGAACTTCACTATGATATTAAGTCATTACAGATGTTATCCTTCATACTAATGCTATCTTTTACATTCACAAACTGTACTTGGTCAAGCAAATTTTTTTTTTTTAAACAACAAATAGAAACAGCGTGGTGCTCATCTTGGATGAACTATCAAGCTTGGATAACTAAATAACCTAGAGGTTGGCTAAATATACAAAATGTGCTGTGAATGATGTTCCAAACAACAAGAAAATGAATGTGATGAATAAGAAACCTGCTGACAACCTTAATGTGCTGGCGGCATATAAATATTCATTGTAAATTCTTATAGTTGT